ATGCTTGCACCCCAAAGCCACAACCCCAGCTTTACCCAGAATATTCACCTAGCCTGTTGATCCTCCCTGTGCAATGTAACAGAGAAAGAAAGATGGAGGACAAAGATGAGTCCATGTGTCTGGCTTCATTGAGGTGGGAAACTGGTTATCTGGAGTGACGTACAATGAGCACCAGAAACCTCAGGTACCCACGCCACACCAGCGCATGAGACCCTGCCATGGCTTCTCTGCTGTTCGGGCCTACTGGGGAAATTACACAGGCTCTGTACCAGATGCGCTGGGATCCTGTCACTCTCGGGCTCTGTGGTGCTGAGCAAATCGTTCCCTCTTTCTGAACTATAGTTTGCTCACTAAACAATGGTGTGATCGTGAGATATAAGTGAAAAGGCCCTGAACAACTCAGGATACACCGAAGAAGGTGCTCAGTAAAACCTAAATTAGTCTCCTTTCTCCCCCCTTTCCTCCTTCCCTTTCTTTCTTTTCTTCTTTCCTTCCTTCCTGTCTTTCTTTCTATTTTTTTTTCTTGTTTGTTTTCGAAGACAGGGTTTCTCTGTGTGGCCGTGGCTGTCCTGGAACTCGATTCATTCATCTGTCTGCCTCTGCCTCCCTAAGTGCTGGAATCAAAGGTGTGTGTGCCATTGCACTGGGCGTTTTCCCTTTGAGAATTATTTATTTAAATAATCATTTATTTTTATTTATTTATTTTCTTTGAGATTTGTTTTTATTTACGTGTGTGTGTGTGTGTGTGTGTGCATGTGTATTTGTGTAGAGTACCTTCTGAACCCCTGGACCTGCACTTACAGATAGCTGTGCTCCACCTGAGTGGGTTCTGGGGACTGAACCTCTGCAAGAACACTGAGCACTCTTAACTACTGAATCTCTGGCCCCTTATTACTTTTATTCTATTTTGGGCGTGTGCGTGTGTACGTGTGTATCTGCTTGGTGTCTGTGTGTGTGTTTGGGGTTTGGGGGTATGTGGTGCATATGTGTGTAGGGGCACGTGTTGGGCTGAAGTTGCCATGAATGTCCTCCTTAATTGCTTTTTACTTGTATGTACTGAGGCAGAGACCCTTGTTGAACCCAGAGCCAGCTAGCTAGCTAAATGCCACCCGCCCCCAGAATCCTGTCTCTGCTTCCAGAGTGCTAGGATTACAGGCAGCCACACCTGCCAGCTTTTACATGGGTTGTGGGGATTCGAACTCTCGTCCTCGTGCCTGCACATCAAGTCATCCACCTGTTCCTTCTACTTCTTATTTCTCGTACCAGGAAACCTTTTATTTGGAGTTGAGGACTTAATCTCTCCTGTTAATCTGAAAGTCTAAAAATAGTTGGTATTTGATCCTAGGCTCAACCCAATTCCATGCAGGGCCGTCCTCTGAGGTCCCCTGGGGGCCTTGGAGAATGAGCACACTAGGGTTGGCTTTGTGAGGCATGCCTGAGAGTAAGTGCTGATTGGGGGAAGACTTGTAGCTCCAGTCAGCATAGAGGGTGGTCCCTAACGCCCCAACAGACTCCATACCTTTCTGCAGCTTTGAACCCCCGGCCTTAAGGAGGCCCCCAGTAGTATTTATTGAATGAGCAAATGGCCTGTGACGTTGAACAGCTTTGGTCAGGTTTCTTCACCCTAATGGGCTATACTCCGTTTATGAGCATAACAAGGATTGTTACAATCTGGCAGCTGGAGAGATGGCTCAGTGGTTAAGAGCGCTTGCTGTTCTTGCGGAGGGCCTGGGTTCAGTTCCCGACACCCACGTGGCAGCTCACAACCACTGGTAGATCCAGCAGCTCTGACACACGCACCCTGGTTCTAGGGCAGCAGAGGTCTGCTGCCCTCTTTGAACACCAAGCATGCATGTAGTATGCATTTATGCATGCAGACCAAACACTCACATGCATAATATAAAATAAACAAATCTTTAAAAAATCTTAAAAAGAATAATAATCTGGTATTTGTCCAAAGGCTAGAATCGGGCTATTTGGTACATACTTGGTAAAAGGTAGCTTTCCAAGGCAAGAAGAAAAGGAAAGGGAGAAAGAAAAGGACTGTAGGCCCTAGGTCAAAGGAAAACAGAAAGGGATGTCTGCAGGATTTTGGTTGTCCAGAGACCCCGGTAAAGGCAGAGCCTTTGGAGCCAGTCTCCCCACCTTTTCTCCCCCTCCCTTTGTTTTTTGTTTGTTTGGTTTGGGGGGATTTTTTTTTTTGAGACAAAAGTTTCCCAGTGTTACCCTGGCTGTCCTGAAACTAGCTGTGTAGACCAGGCTGATATTGAACTCACAGAGGTCCACCTGCCTCTGCTGGGAGTAAAGGCGTGCTCCTCCACCACTAGGCTCAGAGCCAGGCTCTTATAGCTCGTGTTCAGCTGAGCAGGCTGGGAGAAGTCTGGACTCAAGAGCTCTTTAGAAACCTCCCATGGTAACTACCATAGCAAGAAGGAGGTAGCCTGCATTTTTCTTTTATCTCTAGGGGTTCCTGGAGGCTAACAGATGCCATTAGGGAACGCAGGGCTTAGAAACTGGCTTGGGAATCTGGGTGAGGCCGGGCTATGGGAGTCAGAGGTCTGTCTGTCAGCAGACGGAGAGGTCCGGTTCAGCCTCCCAGACAGACGAGGCTCAGGTGTTTTCCTCTCTGCTTATGATTTTTAGGGGTAGCGAGTCCTGGTGTGAGCAGAAAGCCACAGGTTGGGTGCTGTGAGCATGGAGAAGTGGTTACACATCTTTATTCCACTCGTTCAGAAATCCGTGGCTGGATTAAAAAGAAAGGGCAGACTCACCAACAAATACATGAGTGCTACGCCTGTGGAAATGAGCAAAGGCTCAAATTCAGCACAGAAACAGCTGTAGGGAAGGAAGACAGGTATGCGGGGCCAGTGTACAGTTACGGGAGGAGGGAAATAACGAGAGAGATTGGGGGTCTTGTGTAAACAATGGTTTCTCTGAAGCTACAGGCCCCAAAGAAGGATCTGGAAATTGTTGTTCTTGTTTGTTAAGACGGCTCAGGAGATGAGCAGGTGTCTTGCAGACTCAGAGCCGGTAAATCCTTGGACAGAAGTTGTACGATCCCTGAAGGTGGTGACTATCTGTCACGATTCAAAAAAGAACTCACAGAGTCTGAATTCTGTGCAAAGCACTGTGGGAAACGCAGCCATGGCAGAGGTGCTGCACTCAAGCTAGGTCTCTCTTCTTGAATGCTTGTGAGGAAGAAGAGATCAAGACTGGTAGACTAGGTGGGCCAGTGTGTGGAGAAGAACCTCAGGGTGGCTGTGGAGGAGTCCTTCAAGGAAGAGGAAAACCCTTCCGGCTGAGGGAATCTCAAAACACTTCAAAGGAGGCGGTATTGAGAAGCGAAGGGATTTCAACAACAGGAGAAAGGGCACAGAGGGCATTTACCTTGTAGAGGGCATCTTGGGCCAAGGCAGGGAAGTGGGTAAGAATGAGAACGTGATGGGGAACAATTAGCAGACAGAGCTGGCTGAAGTGGTAGTAACAGTAACTACCACTGAGCAAGGTACCAGGAAGCAATGGGCAGGGATGGGAGTGGCACCCATGGAACGAGGCCGTGGGTGCTGGGGAAGGAGTCTGTGGCACACATTAATGGGTACAAAGGGGTTAAACTTAGCAGCTGAAAATCAAGGGAAGATCAAGAGACCAAACCTGTGACTGAGGCTGCTCAGCAGCAGCCTGGTGACCGTCCCTCTAGGCCACCCAAGACTCTGGCTTCCATGATAGCACATCTCTAGGTCCGCCTCAGTTTCCCTTTCTAAAGATTCTTGGCGTTCCTAGGACTCAGGGAGTAGAATGGGGTCAGAAGGAAGCTGCTTTTCAGCGGCCAGCACCCCACAAGCAGTGGAGCCCAGCGTTCCTGGTGGATGACCTCTTCCCTTCCCAGTTTTCTGACCTTGCAGATTGCTGGAGGCAGCAGGGCTGATAGGCCAGGCCAGGAAGCACAGTGGGAGGGTCCTCAGCCCCTGACCCTTGAATCTGACCTCGCCACCACCACCATCTAAGAGGAGACTGGGGGAGAGGCAGGGAGGGCTACCGTGCAAAGCCAGTCCTCCGCTGAGTTTATTAGCTGAGGGAGGGCTGGAGGCGTCTGCATTCCGACTCACAGACTGGAACATTTCTGTGATCCGCTGTAATGCACTGGGGGACACTGGGCACATTGCTGAAGTTTGACTCATAGGGACCAGCGTGGGGGGGGTGCAAAGGAGGGTCATTGTGGAGGGAGAGGAGTGGAAGAGGAAGAGGAGAGGATGGAAGGAAATCCCTTGAGGAATTTCTCTTTAAAAAAGAAAAGTTCCAAAAACTGCACCACCACCCCCTTTTTTTTCCTTTTAATAGGAACAGGCTGGACCCTTCTGCTCCCCTCAGCAGACATTGGGGGGCGGGGGGTGCCACTGGGGTTGGACTGGGCAGTGATTCAAATCAGATCCTGAAGTTTTCCTGAGGCGAGTCCCGCTTGTGTGTGTGAGGGTTAGGATGGGGCGGGGGTGTCCGTCTGGGATTCCCTGCTCGGGACTCCAAGCGTGTCCTGCTCTCCCTACGTGTAGGCTCTCTCCGCGTGGACTTCTTATGTGCGTAGATGTGTGCTCGGGAGTCCTCCCCCGAGGTGTAAATCACCCCGGCCTGTGTAAACATGGATGCACGCTCCTGTACGCTGTGTAGGCACGGGTGCACGCTCTCAGGTATCTGGGTTTCCGGGAATTGTGCGCGGGGTGCAGCGCCGCGCCGCGGCTGGGGCTCGGCGGCCGCGCGCGGGTCCGGCCGCGTCCCGCGTTCCGGGTTCGGCGCTGCCTCCGGGGCGGTGCGCCGCGCCCCTCCGCGATCGGTGCCCGCCGCCAGCCCGAGTGCGGCTGAGCAAAGCCTGCCGGGGTGGTGTGTCCCAGGGCCGCGAGCGCCGGCCCCCTCCCTCCCCTCCCCCTTGGCCCGCTCTCAGACTCAGATAAAGCATTTCCTTCCATTGTCATCCTACCCGGCCGGCCAGGCTGCCAGGGCCCTCCCCCTCCCGGCCCCCTCCCTTCCTCTCGCCGTCTCACAGTCGCTCTGCAGCCTCCGGCGACCGGGGGGGATGTGAGGCCGGCGCCCCGGCCCCCCGCCCGCCATGAGCCCCCGGCTCTGAGGGCCCCGGCCCCTGGATGCACAGCCCCGGCGCGGGTGAGTACCGGGCGGCCACCCTCGCCCCGCCCGCCCCGCCCTGCGCGCGGCACCCTGCGCCGCCCGCCCGGGCTCCGGCTGCTGCGGATGCGGCTGGGTCTCCGGCCGGTCCGGCTGGCCGGGTCCTCCGTGCGTCCCCGACCGCGCCCGCTCGGCCCAGCTGTAGCCCTCTCGCCGCCCGGGCTGGTTCCGGGGCCGGACGACTCCGGCCTCCTGCGGGGCGCCCACATCCGCCCGCTCCCGGGCAGCGACAGGCCCCGGGGAGGCAGCGGGAGGCCCGGGGCCGCCTGTGCAAGGGCTGGACGTCCCGTCGTCACCCTCCTGCCCGAGATCCCGGAGGCACGGCCGGCCGCTGAGGCCCGGGGAGGGGGCGGTGCTCCGGGGCGGAAGGTTTGGAAGCGGGAGGGTAAAGGGTAGGACCCACTGAACTGAGGCCGGACTTGTGGGGCTGGACATCAGCGCCCCCATCTCGTGGAACCGGGCAGGGCCCTACTCAGATCCCGTGGCTGGGGCAAACGTCCCCTCGAGGGACACTGGGCTGGGAGATTTCTCTGAGCATCACCCCCTTTTCCTTGACCACCCATCAGAGGGGAGAGCCAGACACCTGTGCCCAGCTGAACTGGGAGGGCTTGGACCCTTAAGGGTACGGGAAATTGGGGGCTGCAGGCTGAGTACCGAGCTCTAGGGAGCTGCATGTGTGTTCTCCCCCCGCCCCCCAGCCCCAGGTCTGTTAGTGCTGAGACGTATGAGAACCCGGGCAAATCTGGCAACTGAGCTGTCTTTCCACTACAATTACTCGGCCAGTAAGTTGGAAGAGAAAACTGGGTCCTGCAGGTCACCTAATGCGGCCCACTTCCTTCCCGCTGGCTGCCGGTTGGGGGCCGACCTGGGGCTGGCCATTGAGCCCTGAACTGTCCTTGCTGGCTGTCCAGCATTTCCAAAAGCCTTCTGCATCTGGCGCTGGTTGGCTTGCTGCAAACTATCCCTTCCCACATCCCAACTCAGCATCTGCCTGAGGCCCAGCTCTGCCTGCCAAATTTTTAGGGTGATAATAGGACATTGGCCCTCGGTGGCCCTGATGGGAGCTCAGCATCTGGAATCAGGAACCCATCCTCCAGACTTACCTAGTCTTAGGAGACTTCGCTCAGATTCCTTGCCCAGCCATTGGAGACCATGACTTTGGTTGGTTTCTACCTCTAACTTGTACTTAGGTGATCCATTTCTTCCCAAGAGGACCCAGTAGGCTGCCACACTCCCCTCCCCTCCGTGCCAACCCTCACACGTCTTCCCAATGTCTTCTCCAGCTGCTGCAAACCATCCACTCACTCCCACCTCCTTGCTCTCTGATTCCCCTGACATCTCCCCTCAGTAACTAAGTAATTTTCATCTTTACAGTCACTCCTGAGGGAAACTGAGGCACAGAGCAGTTCCACTGTGTGGTATCCAGACAACTGAGATTGGACCAGGTCCAGAACCGGCCGGGGCTGATCCTTGTCCCCCTCTCTGTTGTCCTCTGATGTCCCTCCCAAGCTAGGAGCTCAGAGCTGGGCTTTGGGAAGGCCGTGTGCACCTGAACCCCCTGTCCCTCAGTTCAGCCCCGTGGCTGGGTCTCTCTCTTCTCTCTTCCTATGAGGGGCATAGGCTGAGCTTTGTGGCAGAGAAGGTTTCTCTTTGAAGCTGGTCACCTCACTTAAGCTTGCTTTTCCCACAGTTAACATCATAGGAGGTGGCATGGAGGGATTCTGAGTCCACTTCGCAGAGCTCAGAACTGGATGGACTGACCACAAATAATCAGTGTTCAGTAGAAAGTAGGGGACAGGTAGAGAATACTAGGTCCTTGCCTCCGGGGTAATGGACCTCACCTAGAACGCCTGGTGGCTCAGTTGTGATGGAGAACGGGGACCGTTTTGCAGCTGTAGGCATGTTTCCCAGGACCGGGAAGATGGCGACCTTTGAAACCCATCATGTCTTTTTTGCCTTCTTTCCCCCTGGCCTTTCTTTAAGAACTGGTAGTTTTAAAGTTCACCGAACCCAGAGAGGAAGGTAAGCTACTAATGCAGGGCCCAGGGTCACCCAGCCAAGAATGGCTCCAGCCAGACCCTGTGCCTCTGCCAGTGCCTGCCTATCCTTGCCCAAGCTTTTCCTTCGTCAGCTGTGGTCTGGAGCCTCCAGAGGAGTGCAGGGTATGCAAGGCTCGAAGGCATATCCCCCTGGAGGCACCACCAGCTCCAGGACTGTGCATTTGTATATGTTGGATTTGTTCACTAGATGTGGCGCTTCCTCTGGGGCAGGAAGCCTTGATTTCCTGTGTTGGGGGGTGGTGGCAGGGACTAGGAGTGGGGGGCCCACCGGGCCATCCCTGATGTTGTTTGGAATCACAGAAGGGCAGAGCTTTTGCTTGAGGCTGCTTCCCTAATCCAAGGGAGGCAGGAAGGAGAGCACCGGCTGGACCGGGAGGCCCAGGTTGAGGCTGGAGAAGGCTGTGAGTGCCATGAGATGGGGGGTGGGTAACACAGCAGGAAGCCTGGGGAGCAGGTGACCCCGCCGGGTATTGTCTTACTTATAATATTTTCCTTGTTTCTGTGGTAACGTTCCATGGGGGCCTTAGGCCTTAGGCTGCAGGAAGGTGCTCCAGACAGCCCTTTCCTTAGTGGCCCGCGCACTGGGAGCCCCCACATCTAGCTACTCCCCAACCCTTTCGGCTCTGTAGGACCAGGGCCTGGGAATCCAGGCAAGCGGCCTGACCAAGCACTGACTAGCGGGCTGAGTGGAAGCCGCCCCATACTATCTCCTGGCGCGCAAGGGGCAAGGGGAGAGGGGTAGGCTGGGCTTGGGGAAGGCTCCACACAGATTTAGACACCAAGTGTAGCCCCTTCCTCTGCCTCTGCTTCCTCATATCCCATCTTTTTCTCCACTGCCTTCCTCCAGTTATTCAAGGGGTAGTGGAGGACGGGTTGTGGGGGGGCAGAGGCAGGAGGGATGTTTTCATCAGCACAGCGTAGCTCCCTTGGTTCTGGGCTTGTTCCCAGAGGCAAAATAAATTCAGGCTAGCATCTGTTTAGCGTGCGCCTCCGTGTGATATGTGTGTGCGCACTGGGTATGTGGTGGGCGTCTTGTGTTTGCCCAGGGCACCGTGTATCGATGCGGTGCTTCTGGGGCGATCTGTGGTCCATGTGCTGGCCCTGTGGAGTGTTTGGGGCTGTGCACACATGTGGCACAGATGTGTGTCCTCTGTGTCATGGGCACCTTTGTAAGTTATGGTTCTGTGTGAGGTGTATAGAGCCTATGGATAGGTTTCAGAGCAAGTGTACCTATGTAGGAGCTGCTTTTCACAGGTGTCCAGATGTGTATAAAGTGCATTGTCCTTTTTTTTTTTTTTTTTTTTTTTTTTTTTTTTTTTTTTTTTTTTTTT